ATATAAACAACAGTGTTTTCATGTGTATAAATAGATATTAATAAAGCCAGATGTGTTATATAAAAATGCATATTTCATTTAATCTAAAATTTATAATTCATGGTACTACTAAATGCTCTAAATTTGTCAATAAATGGCCTTTAAAATGTTTGATATTAATTTTTAACTCTTATGTAACCTATGATGCAACGGTCACATTACTGGTGCTCTTTATGCTTGCACGCATCTGGTTACACACATTCTTCAGAATAGCTTCTTTTGTGTTCAACAGAAGAAAGAAACTCATACAGGTTTGGAATAAGTGGATGGTGAGTAAATGATGACAGAATTTTCATTTTTGGCTGAACTATATCTTTAATAAGCGAAAATAGGACTAGCAATGGGGCTATAGCGCTGGAAAATGTGGACAGAAAATCTATAGTGTCCGTACCATATTGACCATTGTAGCTCTATTTGGATGGTAATTGTTTCTCATGGGCACATAAGGTATTTTCAGAATTTGCAGGGTCTAGTCAATAATTTTACTGCCGTCTGAATCAAGAATGTTGGTCTTTTTCTCACACCACCCACGAAAAAATTCCCAGCCGAATTACCTACTGTTTTTTGACAAACACTATATGGTCATGTCCAAATCTCTAAGTTTACAAGAAGGGAAAAGTCCAAAAGTCATCTTGTAAATCCTTTTGACCACTACCAAGCTCCGTATCGTAACTTTTGCGATTTGTGGTAATTTGCATGCATTTTAAAGATGGACACCGTTATTACTGAAAGGCAGGAAAGTATTTAAAGGAAACATAACGAAAAACATTTGAATTTGCAATTATAACAATTACACAGATTATAAATATAAATCAAGTAGCCGGGTCAAATGTGACCCTGGAGCACAAAACCAGTCTTAAGTCGCTGGGGTATATTTGTAGCAATAGCCAAAAATGCATTGTATGGGTCAAAATTATCGATTTTTCTTTTATGCCAAAAATCATTAGGATATTAAGTAAAGATCATGATCCATGAAGATATTTTGTACATTTCCTACCGTAAATATATCAAAACTTAATTTTTGATTAGTAATATGCATTGCTAAGAACTTCATTTGGACAAATTTAAAGGTGATTTTCTCAATATTTTGATTTTTTTTTTGCATCCTCAGATTCCAGATTTTCAAATAGTTGTATCTAATATTGTCCTCTCCTAACAAACCATACATCAATGGAAAGCTTATTTATTCAGCTTTCAGATGATGTATAAATCTCAATTTTGAAAAATTGACACTTAAGACTGGTTTTTTGGTCCAGGGTCACAAATGTTTAGCTTATGTAAATAAGAGGATGCATTAGCTTGCAGCTAGTTTCCACATTTTTTAAATGACATCCATCATTATGAGATGAAATGCAGCACAGAAAACTGTATCCATATTTTTGTTATTAAATAGGCTGTTTAAATAAATAATACATAAACCTATTTTTATTATTTTACACCGATTAATAAATATTCATTTATTAACTGTCCAAGCAATGTGACTGAACATGTGACTTACCACATCAGAAGCACATTTCCGAATTTATAGGATCACAAACTCACACCTCCACTGCGGATTTACCTCTACCCAAACACTGAGGAGCAATGCAGATTTATTTTTTTACATACGTCCCCCTGAGAAACAATTACCATCCAAATAGTGCTTATGGGATCAACAGTATGAACTGGCCATGTAGTGATTATGTCTGCTGATTAAACTCTTCAATTGTTGAATTCAATTGTTGTTTTCAGAGAGTGTTACTCTAATGATTAGGGCTTTGATGAAAATTATGGAAAATAAGACACAATATACAGTATAAGCATGAAAGTATTTTGTCTTATTGTCTTATTTTGTCTAGATATTGTGCACTTTATTTTATTTATTTGTTTAATTTTTTTTTTTTTGCCAGCTTTTGACAAAAATTGCTTGTACTCCATGAACTGTTTACTGTTTTAACACTTTACTTTAAGGACCAATTCTCACTATTAACTAGTTGCTTATTAGAATGCATATTACTATCATGTTAGCTGTTTATTAGTACTTATAAACCAAATATTATTACCTTATTCTGCATGACCATATTTTAGATGCCTTAATCATACCCCATACCTAAAATTAACAACTACCTTATACTAACTATTAATAAGCAGCAAATTATGAGTCTGTTCAGGGAAAAAGTCTTAGTTAATAGTGATGTGTTCCCTGTTCTAAAGTGTTACTGAACTGTTCTATTAATCTGATCTTGTTTTGAGCATTTTTTAGATATTTGAACTGGAAAACATGATAAATTTGCGTTGTGATCGGTGGAGACACAGAACAGCTATAGATCTGATGGCAGCTTACCTCACTCAGTCTCTCATAAACACATAAATCACTGCACAGTTTTACGACAATGAAGTGAAACAGTGACTCAGCCTATTTGTCTCAATCGATGGCCTGGTTGGTTAATGTGAAGTGACACTTCAGCGGAAACAACAGTTCCATTTACCTTGATAAATATAAGATTTGTAAATCCGTTCTTCAGACACGAGGCTCCACTCTGAATAACGCGGGGTATTATTCAGGCGTTTATGAAATCTCTGCTTCTCCATTCTGTCACCAAACTGAAATGCGTATCAGCTTATACAAGGAATTATGCCCTTGTTTATGCATGTTTAATAATGTATAATGTTTTCATTTAACCACAACACATGTTGTGCTATAATGATATTACATTCGGTGCTTACCTTCTGTAAACCGCTTGCAAAATATGAGTAAATAAAACATGACTGGATTCATTTTGCATTCACGTTACTGGATTGTTTTCTGGATGTGATGCTCATTTCATAAATATATGTGCGTCGCCAATATTGTTTGATTTGCATATAAATGCTAAGGGACTGAAAATATGACCATCTGCAACATAAAAGCATATCAGCATAAATTCTGGATGGCTTCGCTGTTTGTTTTGTCCAAGAATTGGCCACCTCTAAATGTAGAGTGTCCAACCACAGTTCATTTTTGTTAAACGATGCCATTGTGCTACAGATCCGATACACATCAGACTGTCCATGAATGTTTAGTGAACTAGAGGTCAAACATAAAAAAAAAAAAATCTAATTTTTCCTTGACTACATCAAATCTAATGCACTAACAGCTTAATCATATGCATAATGCAATGCCAAGACCTGAGATAAACATTTATTTATATCGTCAATGACATGACATGATTATTCCTCATGTTCCTCATTTAAAAAGGGAGATTAAAAATTAGTCCCTCATGCTTCCTAATGCAAGAGCTCATTAGAAGTACATATCGAATTGATGAGTAGGTCAATGGACTACGGGTGGCATTATAATCTCACTGTCACGTGTATGTTCCTGTTCTCCCTATTTGGTTTTTCCTGTTCCTGTCCTCGTCATGTGAATTCGTCTCCGGTTGTGTTTCATTAATTAGTTCGTATTGTTCCCAGGTATGTCCCATTAGTTTCTGTCCATTTAAACCCTGTGTTTCCCAGAGTTTCTTTGTCTGCTGTTAAACATCTGTTCCCCCTGCTACGTGTGCGTCTTGCCTTTATGTCTCTTTATTTGGATGAATAAAGATGGTTCTATGTTGAAGTACTCTGACGTCTCCTCGATTCCTGGTTCCAACACAGTAGCAGTAGCCGGAGCGTGACACTCACATTCAAATGTATATTACATATAATGTACACTGTAAAAAAATTAATGTGAAATCTACAGGAATTTATTGTGTTTATGCACAGGAAATTACTGTATACTAGTTCACAGTAGAATACCGTAGTTTCAGTCAAAATTGCAGTAATGTAAGAAGTACTGTGAGTGTCACAGTAACCAGCAATGTCTTGCAGAAAATCACAGTAACTTCCAATGTATTGTAGAAAACACAACCAGCAATTATGTACTGTAGAAAATTACAGTAACCAATAATGTGCTGTAAAAAAAAAAAAAAAAAAAAACACAGTAACCTTTTATATCCAGCTTAGTTTTCACAAGAGAGCGGGCGCGACTATTTGTAACTTGAATGTGTTTGGCTTCTGGTGTCTTTCGCTTCCAGTTATTTTACCTGTACAAAAACAGCCCATTATACTTCTTCATACAAACTTTTAATTATTATCAAATTATTTTAACTTCAGTATCATAATCATAAATTCACTCCCCAGAACGTGATTTTACCGTACTGCCATACACTAGGGTTTTCTGAAACCCAGCCACTGGGACAGAGAAGGAAAACCATTTTAGGTTTGAATAGAGAATACAGGAAGCAAATGTATTCTTTAATAAAAATAAAAATAAAAAAATGACCAGAAGGTCATCAAGATTTTATTGTTTTCAACACATCTAGCAATAAGTGAAGAATGATAAATGAAGCTTGTTATAATGATGAGCAGTTAACTGTGACTGTTGATAAATGAATATTTATATTTAAATCGTGCAACATGCATTATTTATTTCATATTCATTTGTATTTTTTATTTGGGCTGAACCAATATAACTAAACAGCAATGTAACCTGTCGGTACTGATAGTCTAGTGGTTATCGCACTGACATATAGTGCAACTGTGTCTCTGGCGACCCGTGTTCAATTCCTGGCTTAAGGTCCTTTGCCGATCACATTCCCCACCAATCATTACACTGTCCTGTGTAATAAGCACAAAAAAGGCCAAAAAAAAAAGGTTGCACTTACAAATTAGTGAGTTTTAGTTTACAGTTACATGCTTGCCATGGTTGCTGAAAACAGCGAAAATATGGTTATTTTTTCTACAGTAAGTTACTTGTCACTAGCTGACAGTGCTGACAGTTGCTTTTTATACAGTAAGTTACTTGTCACTTGCTGCCAGTTAATTACTGTGCTTTTTATACAGTAAGTTACTTGTCACTTGCTGCCAGTTAATTACTGTGAATTTCACAGTCAGTTTCTTACAGTGAATACAAAAAAAAACTTCACAAACACTTTATAGCTTCAAGTTAATATAGAGTGCTACCTATTTTATAAATCCTGTTAACATTTCACGGTTTAATTTCAGATCGTGAGAACCAGTCTGTCCTGATTACGTGAGTAAATATTCTTCTGCTGACACAACCTGAAGCTTTTCAATTATAATTGTAAATCAGTAAAACTAAATGATGATCTCATATAAATCTCCAGTGGAGAATCTGGTGCAGGAAAGACTGTGAACACAAAACGTGTCATTCAGTACTTTGCAACTGTAGCGATGTCTGGTGCAAAGAAGGCAGAGCCTGTCCCTGGAAAAATGCAGGTTAGTGAATAACTATTCTAGACAATGTTATTGATGACAGTGTTTGTGATTCACCTCATGACTACCCACTGTGCTACAATTACATCTAGGGATCACTGGAGGACCAGATCATTGCAGCCAACCCTCTGCTGGAGGCTTATGGTAATGCCAAGACTATAAGGAACGATAACTCCTCTCGTTTTGTAAGTTGCACCTATGAATCATCATTAATAACATCATACATTTTCAATCACAATTTCAAAGCAGGCAAACAGTTGAGCTTTTATCAAT